GGTCCCACATATGGGATTTAGAACGTTCAGTGACGTCACATAACTGCCAAATTCAAACTGCGTTTTCGCGCTTTGGCTGACGCTGAGACGCCGCTGCACTTGTCATATAATCACAACTATGCAGTGTTTTTAACCACATGTTTTATTTAGGTTTCAGACATTTAAATACACAAGTACTAGTAAAACAATACATTTAGAGTTTGTAAAATACACACGGATGTTTATGGAAGTAGCAATAACAATCCATTTAAATATAATTTGCTGACGTGTTTTATTAATATCAGATACACATAGTGTAAGTAACAATAAAGTTCACTCTATTCTTCTCCCAGTTCACCGGCCACTTATTTGCATGTATTTTGGGAGAAATTGATGAATTTACGTGCTGTAAATCTGACTGACAGGACTCTGAACTGCAGCGCAAACAAACATGGCAGCGCCCATCTCACGTTACAGCTCACGATCAAGATCATTTAGAACGTTTTTTAAACGACAAAACACACTCATTTACACATATTTGTGAATCGGAATATCAGATAGTTGATGATATGGTAAGTTTATGAATATTTCGAAGAAAAACGAAATAAAAGCGATCCATCTGTCATACAGTGTTACTGTGGCCGCGGTGTGTCACGTGACAAGCATGACGCGTCGACATGGAAACAATAAGGAGAAACGTTCTAAAATAACGGTCGCCTAAAAAAACTCACTCTGGGGGGACCGCTAGAATATTTTAAACTCACCAGTGAAAGGGTTTTTCATGTTGTGCGCTCTGTAGCTCCTCCGCATGAGCGCGATCTCTCTTCAGAATTGCGAATAGCAAAAATGCATCATAGACAAATAATGCATCATAGTCCTAATATTATTGCATATAAAAACCGCTGGCGACTCTGGCAAGATGGAATTTGCAAGATAATGTCTATATAGCAATAATAAATGCATGTGTATTTTCTTAATTTCTCCAGTAGATGTCTCAACAGCAGAACCATTAACGTCAGAGCTTATCGATACTCTGGCCTTTCATAATTTAGCCCCGGGGCCCATTTAATACTGGGTTACGGTCAGTGTTGGGAAGGTTACTTTGGAAATGTAATAGGTTACAGATTCGGTACCCATCTCTACCGATAGGTCTAACTCAATCTGACATAATGGCATCTTTATCACATGGCACAGCTGATTGGTTCTTGTTGTATCAGCAGCCAATGTGTGCTGCTCAACATTTCAGAAACCCTCCACCTTCCCCAGCTCCACCTGTATAGATCTGCTATGGGGTGATTCATGTATGCTATATGGGGGTTATTCATATATATGTGCAGCAGAAGTATTTCTCGCATGCTTAAAGCAACATGTTGTGGATGTGTTGGCAGTAACAAATCTCGGTACTTGCTCTGCCGCAGCAGCAGCGTAGCAGATCTATTCCGCCAATACCAAACACATTAACATTGTCATGTATATTACCATGCCAAACCCTCCGAGAGTTGTCATGACAGAAATCTAGTTAATATTAATTTATGTGAATTAATTTTGCTATAGAAATGCTTCTTGCTGTGCTTTATTAATAAACTTGTGCGGGTGATTACATCTTTCTGTCTGTGTACAGGTGAGCCATCATCCGCCCATCTCCGCTTGTCACTGTGAGTCACAGAACTTCACCTTCTGGCAAGGTAAGACTGATACCACTCCTATATTTAACTCTCAAAGACTTTTTATTATCACACTCAAGTGTGTGTGTGTGTGTGTGTGTTTGTGTGTCAGACGTCAGATGGAAGAATAAGTTTTGGGGAAAGTCTATGGAGATTCTTCCCATCGGAACAGTGAATGTCATGCTGCCCAGGTACAGTCCTGTCTGTTTCTCTGCACCATTTATTCACCCTGCATCTGTCCCTTCGTCTGCCTGACTCTGTGTCATGTTTTTTTGCATGTGTTGGCAGTTTTGGTGATCACTATGAATGGAACAAAGTGACGACGTGCATCCACAACATTCTGAGCGGGAGGCGATGGATTGAACATTACGGCGAGGTCACGATCAGAAACACCCGCAACACTACCTGCATCTGCAAACTCACCTTTGTTAAGGTACATGCTCATCTGCAACAGCATATATATATATCACAAATGGGTAAGTCCATGGTTCTCAACCACTAGGGGGCCACTAGTCTTAAATTTTTAAAAATGTAGTTATATTAAAATAATTGTAATTAAAATGATTTTAAAAAACACCAAAAATAAAGATGTACATTATAACATTATACTGACATCATATTTTTGAGTTTATTTTTATTAAAAGACAAGTACAGGGCCGGCATGATATAATTATTTATATTGTTTCATGAATATCAAGTCAAAGTTTTTATTTCATTTTTATTTTCATTATAAAAAAAAACACCAAAAATAAAGATGTACATTATAACATTATACTGACATCATATTTTTGAGTTTATTTTTATTAAAAGACAAGTACAGGGCCGGCATGATATAATTATTTATATTGTTTCATGAATATCAAGTCAAAGTTTTTATTTCATTTTTATTTTCATTATTGTTTAATATGTTGGCCTCTGCAATTTTTCTTTTTGTTTTATGTAGCAATATTATTCAGTTCAATTCAGTTCAGTTCATTAATCATCTGAATGCTGTTTAGTAGCTTTTTAGTTTCATAGATTTGCTTATGCACACGACGAATATGTGAATGGTCCACTAGCTGGGGATACTTTGTGTTACGTCATCGCCCCGGTTTCATTACTTCAGACGCCTCATCTATAGTGCTGCTCTGGCGCCGGCTCTGCAGAAGCTTAGATAGGAGGGCCTTTGAATCGATTGAGAACCAGTGGTTTAGATGGTGGTGTTTATGCAAACTAACATACACTAGTCGAGTTTTCAGATAAGTTTAACAGCCTAAAAGAATGAGCAGTCTTTATTTTACTTTGTTTGTATGGTAAAATGTGTAATCTCACACTGTGGATGCTCAAATGAACAGAGCGGTGTTTTGAAAGCAGACTGACAGTTTTGGGCTTTATATGGTAAATAAATCTACAAATGATGAACTTATAGTTGTCTGTCCACACATCACATTTAAAGAAAACAACCAACCAGTGTAATGAACTCTATACTAACTGTACACTACCGTTCAAAAGCTTGGGGTTGGTAATATATTTTTTAATGTTTTTGAAAGAAGATTCTTAAAGTATGTTCACAATTATATGATCAAAAATTCAGTGAAATCAGTAATATTGTGAAACATTATTACAATTTAAAAGAACTGTTTTTGATTTGAATATATTTTTAATTGTAATTTATTCCTGTGATGGAATTACAAATTATTTAAAATGATTTAGGAATTATGAAATGGTTTTTATGATTATCAGTGTTCAAAACAGTTGTCATGTTTCATGTTTTTGTGGAAACCATGATACTTTTTTTTCCAGATTCTTTAGTAACTAAAAAGTTCAAAAGAACACATTTATTTAAAATGTCTTTACTGTCACTTTTGTATAGGTAAAATTTTATCCGCTCTATATTTGCAACAGAAGGCCATGTGCACATTGTTTCATAATCATATCATGAATCAGAATCTAAATGTGGGGTGTCTAGAGATTCCCAGTCCTAATCTGTGTGTGTGTGTGTGTGTGTGTGTGTGTGTCTCTCCAGGGAAACTACTGGAGCTCGAATGTGAATGAGGTGCAAGGATCAGTAATTTATTCCTGTGATGGAATTACAAATCATTTAAAATGATTTAGGAATTATGAAATGGTTTTTATGATTATCAGTGTTCAAAACAGTTTTTGTGGAAACCATGATACTTTTTTTTCCAGATTCTTTAGTAACTAAAAAGTTCAAAAGAACACATTTATTTAAAATGTCTTTACTGTCACTTTTGTATAGGTAAAATTTTATCCGCTCTATATTTGCAACAGAAGGCCATGTGCACATTGTTTCATAATCATATCATGAATCAGAATCTAAATGTGGGGTGTCTAGAGATTCCCAGTCCTAATCTGTGTGTGTGTGTGTGTGTGTGTGTGTGTGTCTCTCCAGGGAAACTACTGGAGCTCGAATGTGAATGAGGTGCAAGGATCAGTGATGGACCAGGAGGGAAAAGTCATTCACAGACTGTTTGGGAAATGGCATGAGGGTCTGTACTGTGGAGTCCCACCTTCAGCCAAATGCATCTGGAGACCAGGTATATACACTCACAGGGTCCAGAATGAACACCCACAATGTGCCAATTGTTAGTAGAAAGTGGACTGGCACAGTATGTAATATAAAAGGTAATAAAATGTACCTAAAGTAATACCCTCACTTAAAGGGGTCATGAACTGCCTCTGTTTTGTATGTTGTACTGTTCTCTGAGGTCTACTTATAATGTTATCAAGATTTTTACATAAAAAATCATAATTTAGAAGTAATAAGCTACTTTCTGTCCTGTTTTAACCCCCCTCATTAGAACGCTCTGTTTGAATTGGCGTAGAAGATTGTAGATTAGGAAGTAAACGCCCACTGCTGTGATTGGCTAATAGTTGTGTATCTTTGACAGCCTACATCCTTCACAGATGGATGCTGCTGTGATTAGGTTTAAAACGCATAAATACTCATATCAAACGATCGTTTAACTGTTTAACAGACAAAGCAATAGTGACCACGTAGTAACAACAGTTACTCACACTTGTGTCTTGCGACATTACTGTCATATCCAATATATTCAGCACAGCATCATCTTTTAGTTTCAATCTTTCTGAAAATCCTGTGTCGAATTGTTCCTTGTTTGTAAATGAGTCTGCGATAAAATGAAGTGAACAATGGACCAAGTTTTTACCGACGCAGTCTGGGTCTTCATTAAAAATAAAGTCCATCCACTCTTTCCTAACGTTGGGATCAGAAGGAAGACAAAGCAAATACTATTTTTTCCACAACTTGGCACTGCACAGCGTCATGTTGTCTTCGCAGCATCTTTATCGTTTGGTTTCTTCATAGATCTGAGCATTCGCCTCTCTCGTAAACACTATATGTGTGAATCTGTGGGCGGGGCTAAACAGGCAGCGCTGTAGAAGCAGGCGCTGATCTTCTTCTGCGGAGGCGGTGCTTATCCACACTATTACATCATAGAGTGGCACATTCCACAAGCTGTCGTTTTAACAGACTGGCTTCAATATAAGCTGTTTTTTGACTAATGAGAAAGTTGTGAGTTCTGAAACTTACAGGATGTTTTTATAGTACAGTGACCTCTTATATGTCAAATGATCAAGGGAATTTTGGTTTCTCAGTTCATGACCCCTTTAAGTGAGGTGAGTGGATCATACCAAAGAGATCCTAACCAGTCTACTAATGAAAAGATCAGTATTTGTTATGCATTTTTGGACCTACATCTCATCACTTACGTTTTTTATTTATTTATTAATTAATAGTTTTATTCAGAAAGGACATGTTAAGTTTATCAAAAGTGACAGTAAAGACTACACTATTACTATTTCTTTTTTAAATGAATGCTGTTCTTTTGAACTTTCTATTCATCAAAGATATACAAGTATTAAGCAGCGCAACTGTTTTTAACAGTGATAATATTAAGAAATGTTTATTGAGCAGCAAATCAGCATATTAGAATGATTTCTGAAGGATGATGTGACACTGAAGACTGGAGTAATGATGCTGAAAATACAGACATTTTATATTCCAATGTTATTTCACTTAATTACTATTTTACTGTAAAAAAAAAAAAAAAACTTAGTGACCTCAAACTTTTGAACTGTAATGTATGATTTTTGTCTGGTGAAGAAGAAAAAGTAAGTGGCCGACTTGGGCCAACAAGTAACTACCCAAACACTGTGGCAGAACCGTAGAAAGTACATGGGTAAATTTAATAAAGCACACTTTAATGGCCAGTAGGAAATATCCATGATAATAAATTATATGTCAAATGATCAAGGGAATTTTGGTTTCTCAGTTCATGACCCCTTTAAGTGAGGTGAGTGGATCATACCAAAGAGATCCTAACCAGTCTACTAATGAAAAGATCAGTATTTGTTATGCATTTTTGGACCTACATCTCATCACTTACGTTTTTTATTTATTTATTAATTAATAGTTTTATTCAGAAAGGACATGTTAAGTTTATCAAAAGTGACAGTAAAGACTACACTATTACTATTTCTTTTTTAAATGAATGCTGTTCTTTTGAACTTTCTATTCATCAAAGATATACAAGTATTAAGCAGCGCAACTGTTTTTAACAGTGATAATATTAAGAAATGTTTATTGAGCAGCAAATCAGCATATTAGAATGATTTCTGAAGGATGATGTGACACTGAAGACTGGAGTAATGATGCTGAAAATACAGACATTTTATATTCCAATGTTATTTCACTTAATTACTATTTTACTGTAAAAAAAAAAAAAAAACTTAGTGACCTCAAACTTTTGAACTGTAATGTATGATTTTTGTCTGGTGAAGAAGAAAAAGTAAGTGGCCGACTTGGGCCAACAAGTAACTACCCAAACACTGTGGCAGAACCGTAGAAAGTACATGGGTAAATTTAATAAAGCACACTTTAATGGCCAGTAGGAAATATCCATGATAATAAATGCTCTCAATTTAGCAGTCATTTGCGGTTATGACCCTACACAACACAACAGAGGGCAGATCTAATGCTGTGTAGGCAGTCGGATGTTTGAGAGTGATGCTAATGCTAATGTTCCACATACAGTATCTCACAGAAGTGAGTACACCCCTCACATTTTTGTAAATATTTTATTATATCTTTTCATGTAACAACACTGAAGAAATGACACTTTGCTACAATGTAAAGTAGTGAGTGTACAGCTTGTATAACAGTGTAAATTTGCTTTCCCCTCAAAATAACTCAACACACAGCCATTAATGTCTAAACCACTGGCCACAAAAGTGAGTACACCCCAAAGTGAAAATGTCTCTAGAAATGATTTCGACCTTGTTTTGAAGGATTCCGTAAAGCCTTGCTTATCTTTGAAAGGCTTTGACAGCTGTGGCTTTTCATGTGTTTGTGTTGTAGGAAAACCTCAGCTTATAAAGACTCAATGAAATGATGTGACACATGCAGTATTGGCGTATTTACTAGTGAAACCGCAAAGTGAAAGTAACATAGATGAGAACAATGAAGACGGTTCATGAAAAGGAATAATTCCAGTCAGTTCCTTTGTAACAAACTGACCAGAAAACCACTTGCTATTAAGACTATAAGACTATTTGCTATTACTAGTGGCTGGAAGAGATGGTATTAGGTAGAGGCCGGGACATTGTGATTTTAGAGTGCATTGTTTAGACGGACATTCCTATGCACCATTTGTATCAATATTTTAGGCCTATTTTTCCAGAGAAGAATTTTAAACGTGTTACCTGTTAAAAGTTTAGTTTTCCTTCTGGTCATAGAGCTTTTTATATTAATGCAGCGGTGTTCTATGTGGGGTAGAATCTGTGATCTCTGACCCAGTTCGTTTGCTGGCTTCCATGGCTACAGTACGCGGAGTTTTCCACAATCTGGCAACCAATGTGGGTGGTGAAAATACTATTGGGTAAACTGGCAGGGGGCGGAGTCACACAGAGCAAAACAAAAACAGACATTCCGACACGGAACACACATTCTACTCAATGTAGAATAACTGGCTGGCAGCTTTTTTTTCTCTAAAAAATAAGAATGTTAGAATGTTTTCTACAAATCTGCAAATGTGTCATGGTATTTTTATTACATATCATACAAAAATTTTTTTTTTTATAGTTTTAGTTATAATAATTTAGTAATAATAACAACACTAAAAGAGACTTTAAAGGGGCTGTATGTAATTTTTTGACTGCTATAAATTACATACAGCACCTTTAAGATTCCTTTTCGTGTTAATTATTATAACTAAAACTATAAAAAGTATTTTTAATACTAAAAATATAAATATTAAATGAATATACATTTTAGATGAAAAACTTAAGCTTCCAAAACTTGAAAATTAGAACAGTTGCCTTTGAGTTGAAGTACTAAAATTACTAAAATTAAAACTAAAATAAAAATATAGGGTAAAAACTATTAAAACGGACTATTATTGACAATTATAATAAAAATATTAAAACCTAAAATATTAATAAATATTATAATAGCATGTAAATAATCCTGGTTTTAGGGATGTTAAGTGATAATATGATGTTATAATTTCAACAAAATGAACTGGAACGTGTGTAAACGTTCTTTCGATCATACAGTATGTGATTAATTTTAAAGCAGAAAGTAGCCATTTCAACACTAATCATGTAAAACTGTGCTGTGCATCTCTTAAGAATCAGAGCCTGTTTTTACTTGATATTTTGAGTGAAAATACTTAAATGAACTAATGAAATGCTCAGCCTTTCATGTCATTTTGTAATTAAACGCCATTTTAAAGTGTCTCAAATGTATTTTCCTGCTCCCTGAGAGAGTTTCTTGCTTAGTTCAGCTCTTTCAGAACTCCTAGAAACCAGTGGAACAAAGTTTGCGCTGAGTAATCATCTGTGGTGAAGCTCTGGTTTAATGTCTCACAGGTATCTGGAGGAAGGAAATGTCCAGATGGCATCAGCTGAGAAACAAAGAATCGAAGAGCAGCAGAGAAACAGGAGGAAGTGGCTGGAGGAGAACAACATCAAACACCAGCCGCGATTCTTTAAGTGAGTGCACTTCATCTGCCTGCCTCTTCTTCTTCTGCTATTGAACTCCTGTCATGTAGACAGAACCTTCTCTCTGTATTGATCTCTTCCTGCTCTCGGGTTTTAATGAGGAGTCACCCATTTCACAGGCTTTGGGCAAAATTAATAATTTAAAAAAACAAACAAACAAACAAAAAAAACTCCTTTTAATTTAGGAGTTTGAAATTTGGAAGTGGAATTGCAATTCAGAGAAATTCAACAGTCACAATAATGTTAGCATTTAATTTTGACTAATTTTAATGATTAATATGACAAATTATACTAATATTTAGTCCCTAATATGTAATCACCCAGCACCCTAGGTTATATAGAATAAAATTACATCTATATTTATTTAAAAATTGAAATTAAAAGATCATGACATTTTCTGTTTAGTTTCTGCGAAAATGTATTTTACTATATTTTACTGCAGAAATGTATTCTGTTTATTGTCTGTCTGGCTCCCTCAGTGTCTTTTTGACCAATTATGGTTACACTTATATTATACACTTATATACTTATATTGTCCTTATAAAGCTCAGTAGTTATTTGCACAAAATACTGATAGCGGTATTTGCTAACTAACACTGTCATTCTTTTAGTGACCCATAACATTCAACCGCAAATGTATTTTTGAATCTAACAGGACTGAATGCAAAGTGCAAAGCCAGGATATACAGTACCTATTCAGATTATAAACATGCAAATTTACTGTGACCTGTGACAGATTATGAAACGCTTTCTTCATTCTTCAGTGAATGAAATTATT